TGCACCAATAGCAGCTGCCGTAGCGGCCGCGGACCTTGTACTCCGCCTCGATCAAGCCAAACTTGACCCATGGAAACTGTCCTGGCTGTCCATTTCCGGCCTGCGATGCGGATTTCACCTTCCCATTGTTGCAGGACTTGTTGGTGCTTCACGGCTGGACAGCGGCCACCTGATCTCCGTCACTTGATGCTGGAGTGGCTGCTGGGTTATCTCCACTGTCCTGCTGGACTGCAGCGAGGTGCTGCTGTCGTGGACCAGTTCGTACCTTCTCCACATAGGTCGGCTGCCATGATGTTGATTTCTCGTGTGCAGCTGACCTGTTAGTCTTGATGATCTCCCTCGCTTTGTCAATGATCTCCGTGAAGGTTGAGTACTGCTCGCGATCACCAAGAGCCTGGCTCAATGCCGCACAGGACCTGTTGTAGAACTCACGGCGTAGATGCTCGAATGGTAGGTTCAGATTGGGCACAGCCGCAATCTTCTGCCACTCCGTGAGGCAGCCCCGTGTTGTTGTGTTGCCCTGTGACATGGTGAACAAACGGTTGATGGCGAGTGCCGGCGCGTCGTCGACGATGAACCGCTTCTTCCACAGCCGTGTCAGTTCCTCCCATGTGATTACGTTCTTCAAGTCTGGTACGTCGACGCCGTGGGAGGTTGCCAGGTGGCTCAACCAGGTCTGGCATCCGCCCTTTGAGTTCAGGAACAGGGCGCCGATRTACGCATGCTTGGCTACTGGCAGAATCCTGAGTTGCGTTGTGAATGCTTCCCACCAGAGGACGGGATCCTGCTGCGTGTAGTCGTCGAACCTCTCCGGGTTGAAAGTTGGCATCTTGTACATCTTCGGATTGTCGTCCTCGTTTGTCGACTGCAGCTTCTGGACCTCGGTCTTTAATGTATGCAGCTGACTGCTGATGGTGGTGGTCGGCGCAGCGAAGGTGCTGATGTCGCCGAGCATTGCCACTACGTGGTCAACGCGGTCCTCCAGTTGGCGGCTTGAGGGTGCACTGCTGGAAGCTCCAGCAGCTGGTCCTGGTACAGCCTGTTCCAGGTCCAACAATCGGGCATTGAGTGCCCGAGTTGCATCCTCGTGGCTCTGCACTGTTCGGCGGAGCGTCGCCAACTCCTGATGCTATTGCGTTAGGTCCCGGTACTGTCTCTCCAACTCTGACCGTTGGTAGTTGCAAGCATACAACAACCGCGTCACGAGTTTGGAGAGGAACTCCTTGTGCTTCTCTTCCGGTGTTGCCTCGTCGCCGTTCGGTTTAAAATGCCAGTACTTGAGTCTGTCGATGCTGTTGGCTTCATGCCGCTGCAGCAGATCCTGGGCTTCCTTGCGGCGAGCCTGGGCATCTGCGTCTGCATCGGCCTGTAGCCGCAGYTTCTCTGCTGCTGCTGCCTCTTCAGCCTGTACGCGGGCAGCCTCGACTGCCAGCAGGCGTTGTTCCTCAGCCTCTATCTGAGCAAGGCAACGCTGCTTGTAGGCGGCAATGGTCTCATTCGCCAGTTGGCCTGGCAGGCCCGTCATGTTGCTGACGTGGCACTGCTGACATGGCACTGTGTCTGACGTGGTACTGCTGACGTGGCACTGTGTCGGACGTCACTGCTGACGTGGCACTGCTGTCGAGGCACTATGTCTGACGTGGCAATGTGACCTGGCACTGCTGACGTGGCACTGCTGATCTGGCACTGTGACGTGGCACTGCTGACGTGGCACTGTGACTTGGCACTGTGACTTGGCACTGTGACGTGGCACTGCTGGCGTGGCACTGCTGATCTGGCACTGTGACGTGGCACTGTACCGAAACGGAATGCATGCAAGGGGTGGGTG